GGGTCATGATCACCATGATGCTGATGATAAGTATCGTCTTCGAATCCCCTGCATCTCCAACCACGATGATGATAAGTGTCATCGTAGCATTCTGCATCTCCAACGATGACGATGAGAAGTATCATCGTAGCATCCCCCGCGTCTCCACATGTGCCTAACGCGACACGATGATGACTCTGATGATGACGATGATTTTGAAGATGCTGACGATGAAGGATGATGATGCCAATGATTACAGTGATGATGATGAAAATGACTACGAGGAAGATGATGACAAGTGTCATCGTAGCATCCGCTGCATTTCCAACAGCGGGTCATGAACACCATGATGCTGATGATAAGTATCATCTTCGCACCCCCTGCGTCTCCAACGATGACGATGATCAGTATCATTGTAGCACCCCCTGCGTCTCCAACTCTGCCTAACGTGACTTTTGAAATGTAGATATAAGAATAGAAAACAAATGCTGATGACCGTCATGATGATGACTGTGACGATGACGATGATTTTGAAGATGCTGACGGTGAAGGATGATGATGCTGATGACAACGGTAGTGATGATGATGATAATGCCTACGAGGAAGATGATGACAACTATCATCGTAGCATCCGCTGCATGTCCAACAGTGGGTCATGATCGCCATGATGCTGATGATAAGTATCATCTTCGCATCCCTGCATCTCCAACGGCTACGATGATAAGTGTCATCGTAGCATTCTGCATCTCCAACGTGACGATGACAAGTATCATCGTAGCATCAGTTGCGTCTCCAACTGTGCCTAACGTGACACGATGATGACTGTGATGATGACGATGTTTTTGAAGATGCTGACGATGAAGGATGATGATGCTAATGACAACAGTAATGATGATGATACTGACTACGAGGAAGATGATGACAAGTATTATCGTAGCAGCCCCTGCATTTCCAACAGTGGATCATGATCACCATGAGGGTGATGATACGTATCATCTTCGCATCCCCTGCATCTCCAACGATGACGATGATAAGTACCATCGTAGCATCCACTGCATGCCCAACTGTGCCTAACATGACTTTTGAATTGTTGATATATAAAAGATAAGGATGCTGATGACCGTCATGGTGACGACGGTGATGATGACGATGCTTTTGAAGATGCTGAGGTTGAAGGATGATGATGCTGATGACAACGGGATGCTGACGATGAAGGATGATGATGCTGATGACAACGAGGAAGATGATGACAAGTATCATCGTAGCATCCGCGGCATTTCCAACTCCAACAGTTGGTCATGATCACCATGATGCTGATGATAAGTATCATCTTCGCATCCCCTGCATCTCCAACGATGACGAGAAGTATCATCGTAGAACTGTGCCTAACGTGACTTGTGAAATGTATAAAAAAAAGGATGCTGATGACCGTCATGATGATGACTGTGATGAGGGCGATGATTTTGAAGATGCTCACGATGAAGGATGATGATGCTGAAATGGCAATGATGATGATAATGACTACGAGGAAGATGATGACAAGTATCATCGTTTCACCCCCTGCATTTCCAACAGTGCGTCATGATCAGCATGATGCTGATGATAAGTATCATCGTAGCATCCCCTGCATCTCCAACTGTGCCTAACGTATCTTTCGAAATGTATAAAAGAGAAGAAAAGGATGCTGATGACCGTCGTGATGACGACGGTGATGATGCATGCTAACCATCATGAGGCACCCTCAGCATCATCAGTAGTCATGATGATAATCCTGACGACGCATCCTCTGCATCACCAATGCTCTCTAACGCCACACTTGAAATGTATAGTATAGAAAGAGATGGTGATGACTACGATGATGATGATGATGATATTGATAACGAGGGTGACAAGGATGATGACTGTGATGATAATTGCCCAGCAGTCGTCATGATAATCATGTCCACGCATTTTTTACATCCAGCTTGTTCATCTCTGCTACAATTGAAGTCGAAAAAAGGAGATGATGATGAGCGTCGTGATGACGATCTTGTTGCCACCCTTCCCGCGCGCCTCCTGTTTGGAGAAGGGGTCGGCGGAGTATACGGTGACCGTCGGTGTTGGTTGAGGTAGCTCCGAGAAAGATTGGCAATGGAGTTGCGAAAGTAACTGTTTTTCTCGCGAATGTTTTGCGTAACTGTGTCTTGCAAATCAATGGTGTGTGAAACATTCGTCTTTAAATTGATTTTGCGCTGATAAAGGATACCCTGCTTGGCCCCCAGCCTGTGTATGTGTGCCTGTGGGTGTTCAGTCGGTGGCTTTCCGCTCTGAAACGTGGGTGATTTTTAGCGAAAGTTCCGCGAAAGATCCGCGAAAGCCCGCGCGAAAGCGCAGGCTTCGATTGTAAGGGGAGGTACTTTCTGAGCGCCGCGCTAGTCAGTATACTAGCTTGGTTCTTAAAAGTTGCGACTCCAAGCTGGAGCTGCACGGCTTACGAAAAGCTGCATCTTTCCAGCCGATGCATGTCATGTACTACCCTTGTGATGAAAAGTTACGACTTTACAGCTGGAGTCGGGGAATCGTATTTCGCGCACTACGCTTGCACACTTAAAAGCTGCGATTTTCTGACTTGAGCAATGGCCAGGGCACGGCGATGAATCCGCGAAAGATTTGCGAAAGTAATTGTTTATTCGCGAAGAATGGCCGTTTCGAGACAAAGGAATTTAGAACAACCACCACATGTCATAAAGTGAAAACAGCATTCATTGAAATTCATGGCTGCTTGACTAGTTGAAGTCCAGACGAACGACCCTGGCACCTGCCTTCTCTGTCCCGGGTCAGGATTCCGGAGCAGATCCGCTCGACCCCCCGCACCACCAGCGTCACGCAGTCGCGTAGTACGTTTACATTCAGGTAGTACATTTTGATTCCTTATGCCGTAATATTCAAGTTTAATGTCACTGGTGAGCCTCGCAACTCAGAGCGATAAGTTAGATAACCCTGACATGGCGTGGCCGACAAACATGGTCCGCCCCACCTCGTCGTCAGAGTCGATCTCAACAACCTCAGTGTGAAGACACACACACACATGTCCATGTCAGTCAAATCAAAGGTTTCAAGACGGTTACAGACACATAAACTGAAAGCTCAGTCAGTCAGTCAGTCAGTCAGTCAGTCAGTCAGTCAGTCAGTCAGTCACCAAGAGTCAGTCAAAGTCAGTCTAGTGAGGGTCAGTCAGATCCAGTGAGTCAAGAGTCACAGAGAAACAGTCAGAGTCACAGAATCACGGCCAGCCAGAGTCAGGGCTCAGTGAGCCGGTCATTACGCAATTTCCCGCGCGTGAGTAAACTGCCAAGTTTGCACACATGCGAGTCAGTCATGCGTTTGGTTATTACACTCATGCGGGTGCAGTCATTACAAATTACTATTTACGGAGGAACGCTGTGTTAGTCTTAGCGCCGCGCGGTGATTTAATCCGTCATTCTGTGTTGTAGATCTTTCCTTGAAGCCCCGCAAAGCCCAGAGTAGAAAACCGCCAGCCCAAACCACCAATTAAGCTTAACCTGAATAACTACTAAGCACGAGGTAGAAGAGCGCGGGCAGCCGGCGTGCGTAGCTATCGCGTCGCCAACAAACTCACGTCCCCCTTGCAGTCGCGGAGGCTTTTTGCGGAGGCGCTTGCGTGGGTGTGTGCGCGCGCGTGCGCTTGATGGTGCGGCGCTTAGGCCGCGAGCGCCCAAAAGAATCTGGCCACTTTCGCAACCTTTGTGGCGCTTAACCATGTGCGGCTGAGCCAGTAGCGTCTGGAGTTAAGATCAAGCTTTGGTCAAGCGTCTTGTCAACTTTGCCCAGCCCAGCTCAGACACAGACATGCGGCGATTGCAGCTCGCATTGTTTCGCGCTCGTTTCGCAGTTTCTTGCTGCGAGTGGCGAGCTGTCAGGGATCATTCTTATAGAGCAGTCCAGGGGCTGGCGCTTGAGTTTCAAAGTTGCAAATGGCAAGCCGCAGAACCGTGATTCGCAGGTGCTTCGAGAGCTGCTTGATGCCAGGGCCTGCCCCAACGCCGTAGGCCGCAGCCAAGGGAGACGCTAACATGGCAGAAGAGCATCATGCGGACATGGCCTTGGCTCGAAACGGTTTTGAATAAGCTCTGTGATGTTTCTATTTGATGGAGCTACGACATGTGCGACACATTGCTCCGCCACACAGCAGTCTTTTTAATGGCAACAAGTTTTTTTGCGACGGTTGATGACTTCCCAACTGCCTTGCAAAGCGTGGCGCTTGAAAAGCGCTCACACCTGGTTGCTCCTCGGTCTGGGCCGCCCTCGGTTGGGCCGGGTGTCTGCGTCCCCAACATCCCAAGCACGGCCAGAATTCCGAAGGCATCGCCCAAATCATCTCCCATTGGCCCTAGTTTGCATCCAGCAACTCCCGCAATCAGCGCTAGCGCCAGCTACCCCGCTGTTTGCAGCTTTACGGCAATGGGCAGCGATTCAAATATGTCAGTGTAAGACGGGTGCTGGAAATGAAGTTTTTGAATGAAGGAACGCAATGTAACGTGTTGCGAAGCGTAGTGAAGCAACGCAATGAAGGAAAGCAAGAACCAATCAACGGCAACACCCGCAGCGTCGCGCCAAACCAACCTGCGGCGATCTTCCTACGCGCCCCCCCTTCTGGAAGAAGGGTTGGCAGATTGCCCGCTTGAAAATAGAGTTGAGCTTCTGGATGACAGACGCTTGTAGTCCAAAAGCGTTTCCAGATGGCGGCTTCTCTGCGCTGCATGATGCCGCCTTTGCCGGTTTGGAACCCAGAATGGTGCGCCCTATTTTGATGTGTGTGGCCGAGCCGTGTTGTGTCGAGATGTACCCACAGGGTGTCACAGGGCGCCAGGATTCAGGTTTGCGCGTCGTGTGTGGTCATGATAGTCATGATGGTTGCTACGCGTTCGACCGTCTGGCGTTTGCGCGAGCTGCGGCGTTTCACACTGTCAGCCAGCGGCAAGCAACACTTGGGTGAAACCATTGGATGCAGCTTGCCTCAGGCCATGCAAACGTGCTGCGGGAGCTCTTTCAATGCCGAGCCTGCGATCAAGCTGCGTCAGATGGCGCGTGACGCCCAGACTCGCCATTGCACTTGTTCAGCCACTAGCAGTGTGACAAGGAGGAGTCGGCCCAGGTTGGCTCAAACGTCGCAAAAACTTGCGCCCAGTTCTTGTTGTAGGTTGTTCAACGGTCAGAAACGGTCACTCCTTGTCTGGCGTAGTATGGTTGCCAAGCCAACTTTCAGACATGTCTATCCCCACAGAGCAGCTTAGCCAAGACCCATGCGAGACCGCTCTCGCAGGCAACCGCGCTGCACTTGGCAGCCATGGGCGGCCACGTTGCAGCCAGCCAGGTCTTGTTGGAAGCTCCCTGGCAGGGTGTGTTTCCTAAATCCGAGATTTCGCTGTGTAGCAAACGCTTGCCACACCTGAGTCTAATGCGCATTTGATTTGCTTCGACGCATAGATCGCAGGCGCGGGCAGATGCGCTGGCCTCTGCTGGGCGGCTCACAGCGATGCATCTTGCAGCCGCTGTGCTCAGCGCGAACCGACGAAGAGACTGAAGAGGGGCACATGATCGCATAGACCATGACGACCACTTGCTAACCACAAGAAACGGATCTTAAATTCAGCCCACACTTCCGAAATCCGCCAGCCCAGCTTCAACTGCTTGTTTGCTGAGAGCATATGCAAGAGTGCCGGGATCAGCTGATCTCTCAGGCCAGCCGTGGTCACATCTCCTTGCTCCGACTCCTTCGCTCGGAGCCCAACGCCGAACAATTCAGTCAGCCTTTCTTCGGTTGAAGCGCTGTCTATAAAATGTGTCGACGGCAGGTCAGTGTTGCCCCTGCGCAATATAGCACTTGTTACGCAGTTTGTTGCGGGCATTCATTACTGATACCCCTTAACTACTTGCAGCTCAGTTTCCTTGCATGAAATTGCAACAACCTACTTTGGACACAGGTGTAACGGACGAAATCAAGGGGACGTCTGACATTAGTTGCTTTTCGCTCGCATCGGGCGGAATTGACCCCTGAGCGCCGTGCCGCGAGAATTCTCGCAGAGACAGGCGAAGGACCCGATGCGCGTATCAACATTTAACATGTACTTTGTGAATTGAAGTCGAAGTGCCGCGGCATGTTAAGTAATTTTTGCAAAGTTTGACCGGGGGTGCTCCGTGCTTTGCAGACGATTGACCTTTGGGCAATCACTTGTATCACACATACGCTTGTGGCTCAGGGCTTTTTCCATTTCTCCACGTGTGCTTACAAGAAGAACCCATATACCAGGGACTTCCAGCGCATCAGACATCAGGTTCTTGCCAGAAACAAGGCCGTAGAGAGTGCTACCACAGTGGGTGTCTTCACCTCACAACCGAACATCCCGGTGTCATCAGATGGAGAAAGCTCTATGGAGGCCTACGCCAGCGCAGGTCGACCCGTTGGCAGCACCGAGACTAAACTTCGGAACGGCCGGTGTAGATATGAGGAATTCAACCTCACTCACAGCCGTTTTTGTTAGAGCGCGCCGGGCTTTTTTCAAGGCTGACTCACGGGCGATGCGCTCATGTCTTGAGAGTTGCTTGACAACGCCTTGCTTCGCAGTCCAACAGTAGGAGTCACTACTTCAAGAACAGGTTGCAGAAGTGCTTCAATCCCAGGTCGACTGGGACAAACTACTCAGAAAATCCTACGCGGCCACGAGAACCCTGCAGCAAAATATAGCCGTGAAATCCGTGAAAAGGCCGCAAACGCGCGGAATGTGAACATCCGTGGAAGAACAAGGTCGCAAAAACCCGTGGTACGGCCACAAAAACCTCTCCAAAAACATCTTCATCTTTGGAGGCAGTTATCCCGTGAAGCCGCTCCCCTCCGTGAATGAGGTCGAGAGCGGTATGTCCGCACGAATTGGAACCAAATTCAGGAAGACAGGAGGGACAACACAAAGTGTCTGATTTTCATCTCCAGGTTTCAATGATCTGGTGCCCGTCATCACGGCGCCCGCAAAGCCTCAGCAACCGGAGCACAGCCAGCGAAACGACCCGGAGACGTTGAGACAATGTGCCAACGGAAGCGCAGACGCCGTTTCGACGCCGTGAGCGCAGACAGCAAGATCCGCCGAAACACAAGTGTCAGAGCCCTTTCCATGGAAACAAAGTCATACCGCGACGGAAAGGAAAAGTCGGAAAAGAGCCAAACACATTTGCCGCCGTCGCAGGGAAATTGGAGTAGCAGCGCTGCTGACCTCTCAGAGCCTCCATATGACGGTTGGAATGATCAGGGTTGGGATCCATCGCAATGCTGGCAAGCCACTCTGCTTTTCAACATCAGGACAACGATATGCCACCGACAAGAAGCTGATCCACGACAATACAGTTTCTACTAGCAACCCCTCAGTGACTACCATGCTACAAGATTCAGCCACCAGTGCTGCGCGCTGACAGGATTGAAAGCCGCGTGACATCAGAACAGGATTTGATGTCATGACCTGCAAGGCATCACGCATGGTCATGGAGAGCATCAAGGAACGCATCCGATGTCATCCTCTTGACAAAGGTGTGCGGACCACGGTCGAACACCCAGAACATCCGTGAGTTTCCCCTTTCTGCAGTTCCAATGTGGTTTGTTCTGGAAAAAAGGGGAGGTCTTCGACAAACATGTTCCCTGCCAATGGCTCCTCACGGCGAGCTTGGGAGTTGTTTGCAGCTGGCGCTGACGTCTATTCATGGAATCGGCTGAGGAGCCTCCTTGTTCTTTCTGTAAGGCTAGAGGCCAGTTCCTGGCTTCCCAGACGGAATCTCGTCTGTTGGTCTTGTACGTTTGAGAGAGCGCTCACAGGATTGAAAGCCGGAGTTCCAGTTGGCATCAGATCAGGATTTGATGTCATGACCTCCAAGGGACGCGTGGTCATGGAGATCGTCAAGGAACAGGCGGCCGATATGACTGAAAGCCGCTTCATTGTCTAGACACAAATTCATCCGCTTTCCGTACGAAGGTCTCTATGAATATATGTACCTATGATTTTATGTATATATATAATGTTAGCTTGTATATATATATATATGTACATATGTATCTTTCAGACCCGCTCAGATCTCCCAAAAGCCGTCTCTTCCTGCACGCAGCGTTCACGCCACAAGCAGAAAAGAACAGACTGGCCTCGCAAGGTAAACAAGTTGGAGAGACCCCGCAGCCCTGTTGCTCTTGCTAGCACTTCAGCCTGAAAACAGTAAGAGTAAGCCCGGAATAGTTTGGAAAGAAGCAACTTGCCTGATTTGAGGAGGGGTCCGAACCAGGTCTGAAACCAGATGTTTCCCGTCCATTATTCCGACTCCAAGCAGGGAGCCGCGTTTATGTGCCTGAGCCATATAGACTATTGTGAATATGGATACAGGAAACGAACTAGGCTCTGGACCAATATTACAACTTGGAAACCTAGACCATCATGTAATACACATTGTGGAAAAATGAATAATCAACATTGAAACCGCGCAACGTCTGCCATCAAAAGATAAAGCCGGGTGGGTTGATAATTATTTCACACAGAAACAGGAAGATTTATACAAAATACCTGCTGAATTGATTTGTGAAATTTTGGTGAGTTTGATGGGTTGATAAAATCATAAAAACAAAAAACAGTACAGCACCATCGCAAAGGCTCCGCACGCACAGGCGATGGAGAATGGCTGACATGATATGTCCATATGTCACATGTAGACACATGGTGTGTCACATTTGGACATATGGCGTGTTACATTTAGACACGTGGTATGTCACATTTGGACATATCGCATGTGTATTTCAACACTGTGTATGAAGAAACCCTATAAACTTTACAATAAAAGCATTGAAAGATTTATGTTTGGAACACAAATACTTTGACAATAATTTAAGTTAATAATAGTTGAAGTTGAGAATAATTTAAGTTCATAACATTTTGAAGTTGATAATAATATAAGTTAATAATAGTTGAAGTTTACAATATTGAAGTTAGTAAAAAATCAAGTTGATATTATTTTAAATTGATAATAATCTAAGTTGATAGTAGTTCAAGTTCATAATAACTGGAGTTGATAATAATTTAAGCTGATAAGAATTTAAGTTGATAATAGTTTAAGTTCATACGAACTTAAGTTGGAAATAGTTTAGTTGGATAATAACTTCATTTGTTATACTTTCAATTGGTACTTAAAGGAATACTGAATTGATATATTATCGAGAAAATGAACGGTATTGAAACCAAAAAGTATATTCATAAGAAATGTAATGAGTGTTGCAAGTTGAAAAGAAGACATATGGAGTTATACAAATGAAATTTACCTAATGTATTAGTAAATAATTTTACTGACTATTCTTTTGATAAAGAAGATGAATGTGATGATTGCCAAATATGGAGGCACTATTCCAGAAACATAGAACATAATGTTGCGATGAAAAGATTGGATGCAAGAAATGTAAAAGATGACATCATAATATTTGTAGTGTTTATAGAATCCCACCTTATGATTATGTTCATCAGATTTTAAGGATTAGTAAGAAAAGTGTGAAATGATAGACCACATATTATGGATGTTGGTTCATCATGAAAAGGAAGGAGAAGCTGTTGAAGAAATATTAAAATATCTATGGAAAGTAAAAAGCTCAATATTAAAAATACAGTGAGAGGCACAAGTATTATTAGTAAAATGATGTATGCAAGTAAGGAATACCGAATTTTGTCTCATCACCAATTCAATTATTAGCCTGAACATAAATTATAGAATACCAATAAACCTTACAACCAATCTTTGTAAGATGTATGTATTGAACCTATGGGGCTTGTATTTTTGGATTTTAGTTTCAAGGAATATGTATTTTAGGAAAACTAGTTGAAAAATTGCTAGCATTAGGAATAAAGGATCATGGGGGAAAACAATGGTAAAACAAAGATTTGTAGCAAATGCTCAAAAATCAAAAACATAGATGAACTTGAAGAAGGTAAGTTATGTCATAGAAAATGTAATGAATATAATGTAAGTCACAGAGCAAAGCATAAAGAACATACAAGGAGGAGCAAAGAAGAAGATTTAAAGAAGATGAGGAATATAGAGAGGAGAAACTGGCGAAAATAAAGAAATGTCAAAGAAGATTATTTTCTGTGGTGTGTGTAACTGTTCTATGTGCCAAAATCATGTTTCATTCATAGTAAAACAAAGAAGCATCAATTAAATGTAGAAATGAAACAGGCTGAAGAAAATTACTATCATTCTTATCAATAAGTATTTTACATAAAATTATATAATTTTAACGGATAATATTATCTATTGACCTTGTATAATATTTCCATGAATATTTTTGTAAATAAAATTGTAAAACATTGGTTGCGTGCCTTCTGCAAACCATTTTTACATTTTTTTAAGGGGGGGCTGTTGCTAATCCCCAGTTGGCGCACTTGCTCGATCTTGTTCGATCAAGGCTTTGTCTGTGAAAGGGAGTTTAGTTCAGCGCCAAGGTGTCTGCCCTAATAGTATCGGGGTCTTGCTTTGTTGATTGACTGACTGACTGATTAATTGGTTGATTGGTTGATTGATTGGTTGGTTGATTGATTGACTGGTTGATTGATTGATTGATTGATTGATTGATTGATTGCTTGATTGATTCATTGAGTGGTTGGTTGGTTGGTTGATTGGTTGATTGCTTGCTTGATTGATTGACTGATTGATTGATTGATTGACGGATGGACGGATGGACGGAATGGTTGATTGATTGGTTGGGCGGGGGCTACTTCAAAGAAGCCAGTTGCTTGACCGCAAATCAAAGTTGCAGTCCTCTGGCGGGGGTACCTGATGAATCAGGCAACATCCTATATTATCTGGTACGGGCTGATCGCGGGCTTATCTTGCAAGGGAGAGAGGTACCTAAATGGCCCAGGTTTGTTTCGAGTTGCGTAACTAGTTCATTGGCTAGAGGTTGTTTTGCGTTCTAAAAAGTGGTAGAGCGAGTTTCAAGTAGGGTGTGTGTGTGTTGGTGTGTTGGCGCTTGTGTGTTTTTGCGAGTTGGCGCCGTTTGAGTGCAGCTATTCACGCTGCTCAAGCCACGCCATCTTGTTCGTCTTGCAGTGCTGCTTGCCTGGGTGTAGGGTGATTGAACCCAGCAAGTTCTTGAATGCGGCTCGATGCTGGGTCCAAGGCTGGACACCCAGACCCCCACGCCCACGCGCCACTCGCGCCGTAAAACCTCCAAAGACCCCGCCCGACCCCCCCCCCCCAAAGTCCTCTCCTTCCGCTGCACGCATTACGCGTCCCGCCCCAACTTTGACACCGCTAAAACGGATGACAGCGCCCCGGGCGTGCATTTGTTTGAGACTAGCGCTTCAAGAAGCCAGAGCCTTGAAAATGTGACTAGGACCGTGCAAAGCCACACTTTGTGACGCCGCCCTTTTTGGGGGGTCGACCCAAGAAACAATCAAAAGGGGCATAGATCGAAAAACACGCATCACGGCTCAAAGTATATATGCTGCATGGCCATCTCTGAAGTAACTACCCATCTCACAAGGGTAGAGATGGCGCTTCAAGTCCGCCCGAATGCTTTCATTAAACAAGCCAGCCCCCAACTTTGACACCAGTATGACCCCTTCCTTTTTTCCCAACTACGACCCTATCCATTGTTTGTTGAGTTTCCACCCCCCAAAAAGAGGCGATGTCACTTCCACCCCCCAAAAAGAGGCGATGTCACACAGTGTGGTCTCGCACGATGAAAGTCATATTCACAGGGGGCGCAACGGAATCAACAGTCGCTATTTGGATCATGTCTTCAGTTTATTCAGCAGTTCGGTTTGCTCCCCAAGTCTACGGCATGCCCAGCGCTTGTTAGGAGCTTCTGCAACTTGCGCAGAAATCATGAGATCCTTCCTGGTCGGGCCGCTGGTGCGTCGCCAGACTGTGACCCCTGCACGAGCGGTGCCAAAGCTCCAATCTGGACCAGGGACCATCATCCACTGTTTTAACCATCCACTTGCAATCCAGCGTCTTGCCAGGAGCCAGGGAAAGGAAGGCAACATACCGGCCATCAGCGCTGGAGTCTGCCATTTCAGGCTGCGAGCCAAACGGTTGCTGCAAGCAGTATGTGAAAACAACAAGTCCCATGTTCAGCGCTGCCTCTAACAGTTTTACAGCCAGTTCATTCGCAAGCCTGCGGCGCAAGTGCCACAGTGCAAACATAACAGCGAAGTGACTACAGAGCATGCAGAGGGTTGCGTCTCCAGCTGTGCCTTGACGAGTGTCATCGTGGCAACCCTTGCATCGCCAATGGAGCCGAGCGCCACGCCGTGGCACGATGATGGTTGACATCCGCATCATGACAACTATCGTCGCAACACCCCTTGCATGTCTAGCTGTGCCTTGACAACTATCATTGTAGTATCCGTTGCATCGCAGGTGATTTCTAACATTCATTTTGATTTCTTTACGCAAAGAATAAAGAATAGACCGCAGGGTGATGAGGATGATGATGGAGATGACCATGATGGTGATGATGGATGATGATGGATGAGGCGATGATGATGATGACGATCATGATGATGATGAATGGTGATGATGACCACGATGATGCTGAGAGTAATGATGAGAATGATGATAATGGATGATGAGGCTAATTAATGATAATGACGGTGATGATGGATGATGACGGATGAAGGTGAAGATGATAAAGGTTATCAGCATGGCATCCCCTGCACCCCCAGCGATGTCTGGATGATGCTGGTGATGATCGTGATGCTGATGATGACGATCATGATCGTAGCACCCCTTGCTCTGCAAGTGATGCCTAACGTCCCTTTTGACTTTTATAGACAAAGAATCAAGAACAAAGAATAGACCGCAGGGTGATGACGATCATGATGATGATGGATGAAGATGAAGACAATGACAAGAGCAACACCGCGACACCTGCTAATGACTGTCATCACCCGCGTCATCGCAACTATCATCGTAACATCCTTTGCATCCCCAGCTGCGCCTTGATGACTATCATCGCGGCATCCCTTGGTTTGCAAGTGATGCCCGACGTCCCTTTTGATACATCGCAGGGTGATGACGATGATGATGGATAATGATGATGACGACGATCATGAAGATGCTGATGGTGCAATATGATGGTGAAGACAATGACAAGAACGTCACAGCGACGCTTGGTGATGACTGTCATCAACCGCGCCATCGTAGCTAGCGTCGTAACACCGTCTGCCTCCCCAGTTGTGACATGATAGCTATCGTCGCAACACCCCTTTCATTGCAAGTGATGCCTACTGTCCCTTTTGATTTCTATATAAAAAACAATAAATCGCAGGATGATGATGGTGCTGCTGATGATGCCGATGATGATGATGATGAATGGTGATGAGCGTGGTGGATGCTTGCGTCCAACTAAGTGGGATCGTTGCTGTGGCTTCTTTCTGCAGTTGACTGGTCGTCAACTGGATTGACCGCCCCTGCCCCTTGGGGTTTTTTTTAAAATTGGCCCCCCCACTTCGTTTTGGCACGGAGTTGGCCTGCTTGACCTTTGACTAGGTCAATTTGCGGGGCTGCCCGGGACATGGATTTGTCTGACCAATCTGAACTGCCCAATTTGGGCAACATGTCATGAATTTGCGGTTGCTGCAATTTCATGCATGGTTTGCACGAGGGAGCCAAGATGGCTTCGCCAATTCAAGCGGGGCAGGCCGATGCATTGCTGCAGGCGGACGCCGGCAGCGGACGGGCGCGGCCATGGTCGCCTAAGGATTGTTTCAAATTTTGCGGCGCCCTCCAGGGTGAGCACGTGTTCACAGGTGCCGGACAGGCAAATGCGGGACACACATGGAGACTGCCCTGAGGGCAGTCGGCTTTGTTTGCTTGCCGGGAGTAGAATATGGGCTTGCCTGCAAGCATTGCTGGCCTGACTGAAAGCAGCAAGTCGGAGACCTCGGGATCGTCAAGCGCCTCATCCATCAACGAGAGAGCAGCTGGGGCGTTCTCTGAAGGAGAAGGTGTCGAATAGGCGGCCGCTAGGCTGCCGAGGCTGTTGCAAGCGAGAAAGTTCGCAACAGCGTTTGATGAGTTTTGCTTTGCATCTCGGAGCGTTTCTGCTGCGCTTGCATGTTGCTCACTTGGTTTGGTGTATGTCCGCAGCCGTTTGGCTTTTCATGCTTGGGGCGGTTTCATTGTTTCAAGTTGCAATTTGCCAGACATGGCTGCAAATGCGGGTGTGCAGGCTGGCAGTTCGGACTTGCGGCACGACATGTCTGAAGCAGGGGTGCCAGATGATTTGCAAGCACAGGTATTTGCTTTAGGCTATGACACTCAGAGTGTTTGCCGGGATTGAGGAAACGCGTGTTGATGTGCGGGCGGCGTTGGTTGCAGAATTGCCGCTTGACCCCAACACACCCGGCGCACGCAAGAGCTTGGCTTTGCTCTTGTCTGCGTGAAGATCAGCTGACTGAGAAACAAAAGCTCGAGGCAAAGATGACCAACCAAACCAGGTTGTTGCAGACTTCGGAGCATCACGCAATGAGGATTGCTGTGGAGAAGGTCACGGGCAAGTTGCGAGACAAAGAGGCCTCCTCCAAGCAGCTGATCTCGGTGCGCCTCGAGCAAGTACCTCAGGCAGAGGACCTCAAAGAGGTCACAAGCCTTGACGAGGGGGAAATTGAATCACTGGCCGCCACCATTGATCCAGCTTCGGCTACGCTCAGAATTCGCAGCGGGAAAAAGACCGTTGCCACGCCTAAGAACGCTGAGGAATTACGGCTAAGGCATCGCCGTATCGGGTTCAGTTGGCAGTTTGTGGCAACATTCAGAATATTTCCAGACTGGATCATGGGTGCGCAGGTTGCCGGTCCTGAGATTTGAGTTGGAAGCACGGCGCCAGATGTATCAGTGCATCAGAGATGGGGAAGCTGATAACTTTCGCGTGGCAGTGGAAACCATCATGGGCAGAGCCGAGCTTTTGAACACCCGCCTGGTGGTTCCTTTAACGTACTGCGTGCATCGCGCCCCAACTTCGAGAGCTGCGCACGGCTACAGGGAAAGGCGGTGGGAAGTCGTCAAAAGGGGGCAAGATTTTTGTCAAGGGCGCCAACAAGGCAAGGTTCTACACGAAGACTCCAGATGGCAAGCCGATCTGTTTTCGATATCAGAAGCAGGGAGGCTGTCCGAACAAGAACTACAAGTATGTGCATGTGTGCCACAAATGCCTTGGCGCTCATGGTTGGCTCCATTGTCCCCCGCGGAAGCCTTCAGATATCGCGGGGGGCGCGGCACACTGACTCAGGAGGACGACAAGAATGCGGTTTCGCCTACGGCTGAACAGAGTTCCAGTGCGGAGTTTCACACGCAACTTCTCCGTGCTTTTTGTTTTTGCAGAACCTAAGCGGTAGCTTGCCTGCCAGGACAATTACCGGGGGGAACTTGAAAAGAAAACCACCGGCAGTTCTCAGGACCAACCGCCGATGCAAATCATGTCGCGGTCTGCCTTTGTGTCGTTGGCTTTTCGATTTGCCTCCTGATGCTTGGGCAACGGCCTGGATATCATCGGGCACAGACAATCGGGGGAACAGCTTCACTATTAAGAGGAGTTCTGGTACAACCAAGCATCCATTGGTTGCAGTTCTGATGGAACTGGCCGCGCAGTTGCAGCTTCGGTCATGCCTTTTGCATGCACACGGGGTGCCTCGTCTGCAAAACAAGCTTGCAAGACGCACGCAGTAATGAGGATTGTTCGGCCTTTTCTGCGGACAAGCGTGTACGTTTTGATCTGGGTGCATTTGAGGGCATCATATATATTCAGACGCATGCTGGAGACGGGAGATCTTCTGCTTCAAGAGGTTCTAAAAGCCAAGCAAAAGATGCCTGCAGCGGGGGTGGGAGTCGGATGGCCCCACGCACACACACCAGCGTGCAGCTGGGTGGCTTGTGTTGGGACAGGTGCAGCAAGGGGTCGCATGGGGGCCCTTTTTCATTCACTCTTTACTGGCTGGGATAGCGACCGTAAAAAAAAGGACGGCGCCCGCTGAGCGATTTGCATTTGTCTGAATGGGTCGTTGCATCTTTGGGTGCAACACATCGGCGCATGAGCAGAGTTATTTGCACATGTTCGTTCGGCCGCTTTTGGCTCTCAGTTCGGCTTGCAGATTTCGAGTCTCAAATTTCTGGATCGCATTTGGTTTGCTGCCCGCTAGGGCATTGGCTCGAGTTTCCGCGTTCCCCCCCTTGTTAGGGGCGCTTGGGTGGTGGCGGGGTTTGGGAGGTTGCCACACATAAGATCTTTGAATGATGATGACGATGACGACGATAATGATGTTGACGATGATGATGTGACGCTAGTGATGATGGTGATGGATGATGACGGGTGATGTTGGTGATGACGATGATGATGATGGATGATGATTAGTAATGATGAAGATACGATGGTTATCACCGTGGCACCCCCTGCATCCTTAGGGATGTCTGGGTGATGCTGGTGATGGATGATGATGGGTGGTTTTGGTGTGACGGCGATGATGATGATGATCACCATGATGACGATGGTGGATGCGATGATGATGATGATGATGGATGACGGTGAAGATGATGATGGTTGATGATGCTGATGATAATGATAATAACGATCATGATGATGATGATGGATGATGATGCAATATAATGATGAAGACAAGCGCAAGAACGTCACAGCGACACCTGCTGATGACTGTTATCGCGCGCGTCGTCATAGCTAGCATCGTAACATCCTCTGCTTCCTCAGTTGTGCCTTGACAACTATCATCGTAGCATCCCTTGCATTGCAAGTGATTCCTACCGTCCCTTTTGATCTCTATAAGAAATAAAGAATAGATCTCAGGATGATGATGATGAATGATGATGGTGACGGCGATGATGATGCTGAGGCTGACGAGGTGGTGCTGGATGATGTTGGTGATGACAATGATGGCCCTGATGATCGCCATGATGATGGTGATGATGGATGATCGTGATGACGATGATGACGGGGATGATGATGGATGATGACGCTGATGACGAGGATGATGACGATCATGATGATGGTGATGGGTGACCATGGTGATGATGGTGACAATGCAACATGACGATGAAGACAATGACAAGAACGTCACAGTGACGCCTGATGATGACTGTCATCCTCCGCGTCATCATAGCTAGCATCGCAAGGTCCTCTGCATCCCCAGCTGCGCCTTGATAAGTATCATCGCAGCATCCGTTGCCTTGCAAGTGATGCCTAACGTCCCTTTCAATTTCTAAGTATACAGTAAAGAATGCAGAACAGATCGCAGGATGGTGATGATGCTGAAGATGATGATGTTGTAAAAGGAAGAGATGGTGATGACCATCGTGATTATGAAGGGCGATGATGACCATCATCGTGATGATGATAAGTGTGATGATGATGATGACCATGAAGATAATGACAAGGATGATGTTGGCGGTGAAATGTAAGACAAGAAAGTGATGCTGCTGCCCGTCATAATGATGAATCTGGTGATGCTGATGATTTTGAAGATGCTGATGACGAAGGGCAAAAATTGAGGGGACGATGACGAAGAAGATGGTGATGATGAGCACCATGATGAGGATGTTGATGATGACGAATCGATTTGCAAATCATCACTATGCATCCTCAGCATCACCAGCAGTCTTGGAGGAGAACGATGGACTGTCGTGATAGCTATCGTCGTGGCGCCCTCTGCATTGCCAATGCTGCCTAACGGCACACTTGAAATGTATATATAAAAGAAAGAGATGATGATGACCATCATGATGATGAAGGGCGATGATGACCCTCATGGTGATGATGATCAGGGTGAGGATGATGATGACCCTGAGGATAATGACAAGGATGATGACGGTGATGAAACTTGAGAATGTGATGCTGATGACCGTCATAAAGATGGTTCTGATGATGCTGATGTTTCCAAGATGCTGATGACGAAGAGCAAAAAATCGAAGAGATGTACGGGGATGACGCGGAAGATGATGATGATGATGAGCACCATGATGATGATGATGATGGTGATGTTGATGATGATGAATCGGTTTGCAAATCATCACTATGCATCCTCAGCATGACCAGCAGCCATGATGCTAATCATGTCCACCCATCTTTTGCATCTCAAATCGGAAGATAATCGTCAGAATTGCCAATCATCATTATGCCTCCTCAGCATCACCAGCAGTCGTGATGCTAATCAAGTCCACCGAATTGGATGATAATCATCACGTCCTCAGCACCAGCAGCAGTCATGATACTGTAATAATCGCGACGATGATGATGTTGATGATGATGACACCCTTCCTACGCGCCTTGCCCTTGCAGGCAAGGGGTCGGCGGATTGCGCCCCTTCGCCTTGAAGCCTTTCCAGCGCGGGGAAGGCGTGGGGCGAAACCTGCTGCTCCGAGCGTTGCGAGGAGAAGAGATCGACTGGGAAACGGTCTGACAAGAATACGTGATCGAGAAGCCGCGCAGTGAGTGCCTGGACGGAAGGAGCCACGCGGTTATAAGACTGGTTAGTGGAAAGGCGATGACGCAATCCGTGTCTGCAAGGAAGGAGTAGGCAGGCGTGAGCTGGTCGTGTGTGCAAGCGCTGGCAGCCCACCACCGCCTTCCGAGGAAAATTGCGGAGCAATGGAGCAGCGCTGTTACGCGCGTGTCTGAACTGCAAGGAAATGAAGCGATGCTACAGATGCATGGAACTAAAGGAAGAAGCAGCCTTCAGCGCGGCCGCTTGGCGCAGACGCAGCCTATGCCGACAGACGTGCAAGACCTGCAGTCGTAAAAAACAAGGTTGTTGGACTGCGCGAGCTGCGCCACGTCGCGAGAAAAGCGGCACCTGGTGCGATACTCGCAACGGTGACGTGGCGGCCCGCACGGCGATCAGACGTGCGACATATGTTTAGCGGAGTGCGACTCGAAACGAACTGCCCGGAGAAGTCAAAAGCGACTGGCGAGAAGACGGGCGAAACAAAAGCGGAGAATCCTAGCAGAGGGTTGGCGTAGCGGGAGAAAGCAGCAACTCCAGCAAACTATCTTTGACAGACCGCGACTGCGGTGCAGAAACAGGAGCACGAACCCCCGAAATCATGGCCATCAAGGACCCCTGGAAATTCAGACCACTGCCAACAGCGGCGCAGCGAAAGAACCGTTACAAATGGTTGACCGCAGCGTTGCTGCTGTATTTTGTCGCGGCCGCTGCCGGCTCCGGCTTAGCGCGCCGCATGATTGTGCAAAGACTGCGCTTTTGGTGATGAGGATGATAATCACACCAGGACCAGCATCTCCATCAGGGATAACAATATTCCCAGCATCTCTAGCAGTCATTGATGATAATCTTCACTACGCGCAATCTTCACTATGCATCCCCTACATCTCCCTCAGCGATCATCACAATCATGCCTACGCATCCCTTGCGTGTGAAGCCAGGGTCTAACGGTTCTATAGAGAAGGTTTGAAGGGACGAGTCATGACGAGGATGATGAGGATAATGCTCATGATTGCCTTGATGATAATCATACGCATCCCCAGCATCTCAAGCAAAGATTATGCTCATGATGATAACCATCACTACGCATCCCCAGCATCTGTGGCAGCAACAATGATAATCATCACTACGCATCCCCAGCGTCTCCAGCAGTCTTGCACGTCAAGCCGGGTCTGACGACACACTTGAAATGTATATATAAAGGACTTGAAAAGACGAGTCACAGCGAAAGTCATGAGGATGATGCTCGTGGTTGCCTTGATGATAATCATCAGTACGCATGCCCAGCATCTCTAGCAGGGATATTGATATTATAATCACCACTGCGCATTTCCAGCATCTCTGGCAGCGATGATGATAATC